GCGCAAGTTGTGTTCTATCTGTAAGGTATGATGTTAACCATTGTTAAAGCTCTCCCTGAATTCCAATGTGTCTCAATTTATTGATTAGGATTTTATGGTTTACTCTGTCGAAGGCTTTCGTGAAGTCTGTGTATATATGGCATGAACATTTATTTCAAATCAACAAGAATATAAATTCACAATAATTCATAACAAATGTGTTGTGAGCAAACAAATGAACCTAAAGGTTTGTGTGTGTATGCTCTAAGAAAAACTATATATGTATATTATTGGCTTAAGATTATCACAAGAGAAAAAATAAATAATAATACGCGATTCTAAGTGAAATTACAATACAAAAAATCACAATTATCATTACTTAATTCAATAGCGGAATAAGTATTAACTTATTCTCAGAGATCCAGGAGTTTATTTTCTTTTTGGATTTGTTATAACATTTATTTTTAAATTCATTTGGAAGGACGTTATAGATCTTGGGACCGACAAATGCAATATGTTTTTGAGTTTTAGTATAGTGCATTCTAGGTATAATAAGTTCACCCGCATTCCTTGTGGCAACATTTGTACTTTTGTAGGTTCTGAAGGTATCATATTTGACCATAAATCGAGCCAAAATTTTGACAGTGAGCAATTGTAAGGAAAGCAGTTCAGCATCACTAAATAGGGTACTGGAGGAATAAAGTCTATCCTTAAATAAAATTATTTTTACTATGGTTTTTTGTATCACATTAACTGGTTTGAGAGCTTTTTTAGACGCAAGGCCCCATACAACCAATCCATATCCTAGGACAGATTCAACAAGAGAATGATACACCATTTTAATAGTTTTTTGCTTAAGGATTTGCCTAAGTTGTAGGAATTTATACAAAAGCTTTCTTAGCTTACTCGTTACATATTCAATATGTTTCTCATATTTTAAACATTGATCAATAAAAACTCCTAAATACCTTACACAATCTTTCTTTTTGAGTTTAGTTGGACAGTTACATTCTCCTGCCAAAGCACTTGGCTGGCTGGCTGGCTGAGTCGCCGCTGTCTTAGTGAATGTGACAAAATTTGTCTTTTCTGTATTAAGGGTCAATAAACTTATATCCAACCACTGCTTAACATCATTAATAGCTTTTTCAGCCTTTGTATATGTCTCATTCCAGGTGACAGAACTGATCAACAACACCGTATCATCAGCAAAGCAGATAACTTTTGCATGTTTTGTTATTTTAGTTATTTCATTTATGTAGATAGTAAAAAGGACAGGACCAAGGACTGTTCCCTGTGGCACACCAAACTCCGCCATAAATGCTTCACTAAGGTCGTTTTCTATTCTGACATGGGACCCTTCTTCCAATAAATTTACGAGAAAATCTGCAAATGTAAGCAAGTTTAACTCAGTGGAGCGGTGGGGGAGAAATTCAAATTGCTGGTTGATGAAGCAATCCTTCAGACCTCCAGACAAATAGTCCTATGAAATAGTCACAGACTAAACCTTCAAAAACTTTTGGAATACAACTCAAAATACTGATAGGCCTGTAATGTTAAAACATTGCTAACGGTTTTGCTGATTTTTTTAAATCAGTTTTTATTGATGATGTTGACGTAACTTGCAGTAAATTTCCTGTAAAGGCACACTTTTGCGTCAATTTGATTAGCAGGACTGAATAAGGCTATTATAAAGATTAAGAGTAACAAAGCAATAGGTCCTGATGGAGTACTGCAGGGCTGCAGTGAATATTTGGCGTTGCCTCTTGAATTTCTATTTAATTTTATTTTGAAAACGTCTGTGTACCTTGATAAATGGAAAACAAGCAAAGTTATACCTGTCTACAAGGCTGGTGCCAGAAAAGACATAAAAAAGTATCGTCCTATCTCAATTGTATGTGCAATCTCTAAAGTTTTTAAGACAATTATTTTTGATCGATTGTTTAGTGAAATTTTCGGGCAAAATAACATCATACCAACATGGTTTTTTTCATAAAAAGTCAACTTTTACCAACTTAATCACATTTTGTCAATATATTCATGACGCAATAAATAGCAAGTCACAAGTTGATGTAATATACACAGATATGGAGAAGGCTTTTGATACGGTGAGACACTGCGTAATTTTAAAAGCCCTAAACGATATGGATGTATTATCTTATCTATTTTACTTAATACAATCCTATCTTAGCCATAGATTTCAATATATAGAAATCAAAGGATCTAAATCTGTTATGTACAAGAGCACATCAGAGATACCTCGGGGCTCTAATCTTGACCCTCTTCTGTTTTTAGCCGCTATAAATGGTATTATAGGCAATCTTGAAAACGTCAAAGGCTTACTATTTACTGACGATTTCAAATGTTTTCACTTAATAAATTCTATTGAGGATTGTGAAACTCTTCAAACTGACTTTTGTAATGTATCTAACTGGGGTACTGCAAATAGCTTTAATCTCAATGTGAGTAAATGTAAGTGTATTTTTTTTTATGTCATACCAATACATTATTGTGTTTTTATACCTTAGATACCATCTACATAATTCATTACTTTATACCCGTGCGGGCATAAAGTACACATTATGGCCCGCGCGGGCATAAGACGCAAAAAACAGTTTTCAATTAACTTATTCTTATTAACAAAACATAAATTTACGCCTATAAACATATTATTTTTGTCAAAAAATGATGATGTTTGCACACTGATGACAATTTGCGAAGTGACACTTTTCACAGAACATATCACCTATAGAAAAATATCTCAAATGGGAGAATCGTGTTGAAGGTTTTTAGTTAGGTTTTCAGTCAACGATGGCGACACTGTCGGGAGATAAGAGAAATTTACAGGTATCTGTGGCGTGGACAGTGATTTCTGTTGGTTGGTTTTGTCATTTATTTTGTCATTTTAAAAGTCAAAATTTGAATTTTTAAATTGTGTTGTCGTAAACCATGGTCCCCACGCGCGTTAAAGTGAAAATTCAAAAAGTTTTCTGTGGTTTTGGTTGAAAAAAACCCTAATTTTTGTTCGTATTTTTTTGTATTTACTCGTTTGTTTCGTTTCGTTCGTATTTGTATTTATTATTCGTATTTACTTTGCGATCTACCTAGAGCTGCGTGTCTCTTGCTAACTTACTAACTCTTTTTGCACTATGTTCGACATCGGAAACTTCCTGCTAGTCATAGTTTTCAAAAAAATGAGGCGAAAAGAGCTAAAAAGAGTCAGCAAGCAAAATGCAGTTGAACATTAAAAATTATTTAAAAATAATAAAAATATATGAAAAAAATCAATTCGCCTTTTTGTCAAGAATGCTCGATTAGTTGGGTTTTCATTCAACGATGGCGCTGTAATTCATAACCGGTACATAACATTGCAGATACTTTTCTAGAGGTGATATGTTCTGTGACACTTTTTTCCCAGGTATTTATTATTCACAACCAACTGGTATGACATAAAATTTTGTATGCATCACGGGTACTATTAGATATATATACCCTCGGGCGACTTACGAACCCTCGGGCCAGAGGCCCTCGGCTTTGTAAGACTGTCGCCCTCAGGGCATAATCATCTACTTAGTACCCTTGATACATAAATAACTATTATATGTCATTTACCCTTAATAAAAACCCTCATCAGTATGATTACACTTACAATAATACTAAAATCAAAAGAGTTGACAAACAAAAAGATTTAGGTCTGATCTTTGACGTGAATCTCACTTTCATTGATCACATTCTTACAAAAATTGAAAGTGCTCAGAGGGTAGCAGGATTTATTACAAGAAACACTAGAGATTTTGACATAGTCATGAGTTTACATCTTTTTGACAGCTTAGTTTTGCCTAATATTGGAATATGGTTCCGTAATTGGATGCATGGATTACGATTATTGAGGGGGCGCAAAGGAAATTTCTAAAATCTCTTTATTATAGAAAATATAGATTTTACCCACAAAGAGGTTGTAATAATAAATATTTGTTGGGCGTCTTTGGGAGAGTGTCATTGGAGAAAAGGAGATTCAAATAATTCTTTGCACAATGTTTAGGTTGCTGAAGAGTGAAATAGACAGCCTGATATTTTTGGCCAGTTACCATTTGCGATAAATCGAATTAATTCTCGGAATTCAAACAGTTTTTATTTAGCGTTTCCCAGAACTAATCTGTACAAGAACTCACTTATATTTAGAATGTGTTCAGTTTTTAATCGGTATGCCTCAGATATTGACATAGACATAATAAATCTTAAAAAAAATAAAAAACTAATTGATAGTAAACTGCGTGATGAGATTTAGGGCGTTTGTGTTGTGTACAAAATTAATTTTAACCAACTATTTTAATTATCTATGTATTGTTTAGTTTTAGTAAAAATGTTTTAGTGTCCTATACATATCTTTATTTCCTTTTAAGTGTATTGTTAAGCTTTATGTTAGTCTTAGTCTTAAGTGGATGTCTATAATTGGCTCCTGGCTGTTGATATCTGAATGATAAATAAATTATTGACCTGAGACTTGTCACCTGATTTTAGTATAGGGGCAATGAAGCTTATTTTCCAGTAGGTTGAAAAAATTCCAGATTTTAGGGAAAGATTGAAGATAATAATATGAAGTGATAAGATGAAACTACAATATTTCATAAGGTTTGGTGGGAGACTAGTATGTTTATAATCCTAAAACTGTAAACTGTTATTGGATACCTAAATTATCAATTAAGTTAGTCAAGAAACTTTTTCCTAGTGTTGTAGCTTTTCTGAAATTCGTAGAGTTTTTTATTATTTTCGTTTTTGTGTAAAAAGTTTGGTTATAATATTTGTGCACCGTGACCTACAAGAATCCTTATCAACAATCTTGGTATTATTGGATATGCTATACTCTACATCAGCTAATAAATGGAATATGGAAAGTTCTCTATTTTGGTACTTTACATTTGTTTTTCGAAATTTGGTTGACCGGTAATCCAAAAGTAACTACTTGTTCCGAGCAACTTAATTATTTTTGGACTAATAAACCACAACACTGGTTAGATTCTCACCAGTGTTTCCAATAGGTGTTGCTCGTTCCGATCCACTACTAGTCGGTGTAGCAACAGTTTTACTATCACCGCCAGAAGCGACAGTAAATGGCATCACAGTCAAAGAGTTCGATGAATTGCCCACTAAGGAATGATGCGGACTTAGACTGGTACCGGCCAAAGGTACCGATACTACTAGAGAGGGATGCTGTGGATGTGGCTGCTGAGCCTAAATTTTTCAAAAGTAAATAAATGGAATCACAAGTGCTCTTATTATTGTAAACAAACCTGAGAAGTTTGTATTATAGATGTAGATGAGACGGTTGTGGGCGTTACTTCGCTTTGTACAATCGGTTCTGTGACTGCTGTTGTACTCGTAGAAGATGAGTTCAGCCTGGCAGTGGATATTGACGTCAAGGCGATAACAAGTTGATTGGAAATTATGGATTGGGTTGTTTCTATTTTCTGCTATAGAGAAAAAATTATTACAATGTCAATTTAAAGCAAGACATATTTTTACCCTTTTAAGTTTTTCACTATCACCAAAATTCTTCTTTTCAGGTGACACTATAGTCCCCGTAGAAGTCTGTACACTATTACTAGTACTGTCCGATATGTTAGAAGCACTAACCACTACACTAAATTCACTTAAGACAGGTGTAGGAGCCCTTGAGTTGGCACTACTACCTTTTCGTTTATTCCTTCCGCTTTTCAAGTCTTTTGATTCCTTATCGGGTTCCGATACACTCTGTTCACTTTTGACTGTCTCTTTTTTAATGTCAGTCTTACTGTCGGCAGTTGTAGCTGGCAATAATTGTTCTTCAACTTTGGCACTTTTCGAGGTTACTACTCTTTTCTCGGCAGGGCTAAATTAGAGATGATGATTTGAACAGTTGTATTTTTTTAATTTATTTGCAATAGAACATCTAATTTTCTTACCCCTTATTATTACTATGACCAGTCTTTGGTTGAGATACAGCTTTTCCAGAGCTGGAAGCTTTCCCACTATTATTCTTGTTGCCAGATGTAGACTTGCGCTTTCCAGCTGCTGAAGGCGGACTACTTTTTTGAGCAAGATCAGCTTCTTTTTCGGAATTCGAATCCGAATTTTGACTGTCGTTGACTGGTTTGTATGGGGGAATGGTTTTAACGTTACCGCCCTTCTTCTACACATAAAAAATGCAAAAAGTTGTTGTTATTGGTTCATGTAAAATAGCAATCCAATTAGAAACAGACCTTGTGTATACTTACCAGTTTGCTGTAATGGTGCTGGCAGTAACCGCAATATTTAACGTTGTCCAGATAGTTTCCGGCTTCTTCGCACAAAAGACCCAAACTTTGGGCGCACGTGACGTGGAACTGTTGCTTACAGCCAACTTTGTTGCATTGCATGCAAGCACCCACGTTGGCGCTACCAGGTTTACCTTTTTCTTCACAAATGTAACACACCTGATGACAGAAATTACACCTTTGAATGACAAATGATCCAAGATATAAATTGATTTGATTGTGTGAGGAAATGTCATGATAATATAGAAATCCTGTTGAAAAGAGTTTGGTATTTCTATCATTGAAGATAATGATATAATGTAACATCAAAGAGTTTTAAACAATGAAAAATTCTTACCTTATTGAATCTCTCGGAAGGAATCAAATGTAACTGGATCGGTTCCATAGTGGAAACGTTGCCGAAACGTACTTCGGGGATGTACAGAGCACAGACCACATGGGCCCATCCTTGGTTGTCGGTTCGCTTGAGGGCGCCATATCTGCTTGGGCACAATTCACACTTCTGTGGGGAGAATCCCACAAAAATTATTTTATTTAAATAATGTTCATGTTCTTATTGAAGTTAGATAAATAGAGACTTTTTAAAAGGTTCTGGGTCGCTTTTGGAACTGATGAGACAAAAAATGTCTAAGTAATGTAGTGGGAAAATGATTTATTGCAAATACATGATAATGGTTAAAAGACTAAAGAGAAAATTTTTGTGAAGTTAACAAATAGCCATTTTCCAGCACCTAGAAACTTAGTGCCTTCTCGCATCCCAAATAAATAAAGCTCAAGTAGTGGTAAAATCTAAAACTTCTGTCATTTGAAAACTAGATATCACTGTTGTCCGGAGAATCAGGTTTGTGGAATTTTATTTTAGAAATCAATAGTCTCAGCAAGCATATTCACGATTTTTTAATGTGGGAACTACTTACTCCAGCTTTCAACAACACGGTTTATCAAGCAAAAAGTTATCTAAGGAATGTGATAGGATGATGAATTATTTATTCAGTAAACACTATGCTTGGCATTGAAGATATCAAATGGCCCAAAATGCAAAAACAATACCCGATCACAGCTAACAATGGAAGGTAATTCGTGAAGTTTTGCTAGCTTGAATGCAGAGATATATAATTCTTTTTTTTTTCTAATTGAAATAAACTTAAACCAAAATATTAACAAAAAACATTTTATCGCTCTGGCCAGCATTTGAGGGAATCGTTTGGCGAACAAATAATTTCAAAGACAGATTTGCTAACTTCAGATTGGTATTGAGGAATAGGTATCATACATCACATCATACAAAGAAAAGTATATGTCTTAAGGGTAAAAATCTACAAGCACTATCCAAAGCTAGGTCAAAAACAATGAGATTCTAAATACTAAAATTTCTTAAATATTTTTCACTTACAACTTTAGTAGTCCTTTCTTGACTCTCACACTTGCAACAATACCATGGTCCTGTTGGGACCGTTACTATTCCATAACAAGCTGAAAACAAAATTATTAAGTTTAACATTTTTAGTTCTATAGTGTACTTGACTACCCACACTAGCTCACAATCTGAGAGTGCAATAAATTATGTTTCGCTTGATTCAGATCATGAGCCAGCAAAATTTGCTATATTTATTTACTAGAGCGGAGCACTCATTTGTGTTCGAGTATTTCACATATAGAGATCAGCGTTCAAGGTTTTTACAACCGTTATTTTTGGAGGTGCAAATGCATTTTATGAAAACCTAATCTTGGATTCTGGGCAAAGACAAAAGGCGGAACACAAATTTGCATGAAGTCAGTTCAAATTTGTATAACTCGCATTATCCAGGGGTCGGTGAGGAGCCCCCAGTATGCCTGCTCATCATCAGATATGAAATTATGAAACTGCCTGGAGAGAGTGAACATACTCCACAAAGCTCAACTTGATATCATACAAGAACAAGAACTACCTCAGCCAGACACTTGAGCGCGGAGGGACACCAGCAGTTCTGCTGTGAAAGTGCTCTCCAGACATTATTGTTTGTTGGGAAAGCTGCATTAGAAGAGAAAAAAATAATTGATATAATTTTCTTGAACTGTTTGTTATTCTGTGCCTGGAGTGCTTCAAGGTACTGTATTCGGTCCTACCTTTTTGTACATGGACAAAAAATTGTCAAACCAAATTTGTCTTACTGTTCCATTATACAAATAACACACAAATAGACACCCCACACAAAAATAAAACAAAATAAAGGCATTAAGAATGATATTAAATTGCAACAGGTATACACCAATAACAGAAATGCTAAATGCAGCTAATATAATATTATATGTTCAACAAACTATATGTTATACTTAAGTATTTGTTTATAACATGTTGAATAATCTATTGCCTGGATATTTGCTCAAAAACTGTGCATTAGTCAAAGATATGAACATACAACAGGAAAACAGTCTTTGTTACAGGGGCCTCAAACAATATAATGATTTACCCAACCATGTTAAAGACTCACCAAATATTACACAATTTGAAAAATCTTATAGAACGTATACCTAAGTATCAGGGAAACTGTTAAAACATCAAATAAGTAGATTACATCAAATATGTCGATCTTATATATACCATGATTTACGTTTTACGTGCATTAGAAGTTGTCCATTTTGCAAGTGGATTAGTAGAAATAGCATCTAATCCACCTGCAAGCTAATGCACGGGCTACGTAAATAATACTCCCTCTACATAAATGTGTAATTACCTCCTTAAGAAAGTTTATGTATTTATGCTAGTCAATGGGCTATTAATAAATATTATTATTTATTACATACATAAATGTGTAATTACCTCCTTAAGAAAGTTTATGTATTTATGCTAGTCAATGGGCTATTAATAAATATTATTATTATACAGACTTTTCCAAAGCATTCGTCAAAGTTAACAATAGCCCATTGGCAATCAAATTCCAGTACCTGAGAATATCCGACATTTTCCAGAAATGGCTGACCGATTACCTCTTGGAAAGAAGACAGATCGTACGCGTGAATGGGTCACACTCCATACAATTAAATGCACCATCTTGTGTACCTCACGGCTCCCATTTAGGACTCCTGTTATTCGACATCTTTAGTAACGACATCTCCTCTTGTTTTTCCTATACAAATTTCCTGTGCTTCGCTGATCACTTGAAGATGTATTTTTGCATTGCATGATCTAGATGCTGCCCCCTTCAATCAAATCCCGACAATGTTTGTGTTTGGTGTGAGTGTAATGAGATGTTGCTGAACTTGGCTAAATGTCACATAATGCCTATTTCGAAGAGTTTTAATCCTACCAAGTTCAACTACCAAATAGATGGATGGAACTGATCTCTGTTAAAAAACGAAAATTATGGACCTTGGTGTTACGCTTAACTCAGCCCTATCATTTGCATCATGCCAATTCTCGAAAACTCTTCATCAGTGTGGCCTATTCTCTGAACTGCTGAATAAACTTGGCCTATAGGTATGTTCCACCAAGGCGCACTTGCTTCACCTGTATGTTCCACCAGCAATTTCATCGAACAAATTATGGTTCCAACTCCTTCTTTTCCCGAGCTACTAGATTGGCAAATCAGCATCCAGAGCTTGATTTCTTCACTGGACCTAAGAACTTCTCCAAGACTGGTATATGGTAATTCCTCATTTTTGTTTTTTTTTGTGCTTCTGCTGCTGTTCTTCATGTTTTCCCTTTGCTTGTTAAAAACGTTTATTGTTATCTTGATTTTTGTAGGGCAATTCTTTGTGCAAATCGAATTTTTTCATTTCCGTTTTAATGTAAATTATCACACTGTTAATGGTCTTGGCACATAAATTATTAAAAAAATAAAATAAGTAGAAATCATAAAGTTTAATACCAGGATCACCCAATTCCCAAATTCCGAGCCAAATTCTTGGTTTTTGACCTTAACTAAGTCCTTAATTTGTACACTTGAATTTATTCACCATTGGTGTTTTGAAAACTTAAAATTTAAAAAAAAAATTGGGAATTGTGCTCAGAACTGTGCAATCATGTCGTAAACCTTTAGGCTCCTTGAAAGACATTGAATTTTGAGGAAAATTTTAAAAATCAATCAGAATCATAGAACTGAAAATACAGTAATTGATTATTATTTGTCAGTTTTTAATCAGAAACACTAATCAGGTTTTTATTTAGCACAGAAAAAATCCAAATTCTCACCTTGATGAACAGCAACATTACAAGATTGTCCATCGCAGTACACAAGGGGATTCTCGGACCAGCCTCTATCGTCAGAACACACACAACAACCACCTACCATTTCCCTCATAATGCAGAAAAGTCCGGTTTGCTAAACTAGCGATCTATTGGTATGCCCACCCCATATCTCCATAACAATAAGTTGACGTTCATTGCTGAGATTTTGTGTCTCCTTTCTGGTTGAAAAAGGTCTGGAAATAAATTAGAATTTATTTATTTTATTTTGTTTACTATTCATCATAACATAAGCTCCAATGAATCCTTTCAATGAATTTACTTGCAATAGACTAATTTTCAAGGATCAAACTCGTCAAGTCAAAACCAAAGATTATAATCACAGTCGTTTGTTTCATTCATATTGAAACAAAGTAAGTTTGCATCACAGCAAACTTTTGGTTTTTGTCAATTGCTTGGTAAACTGCTAGCAAGGGAGTTGTCCACGTGGAAAATTATTTTGCTTTAGAGAAATTGAATGAAAACCATTCTGGGTGGGAGAAACTCTCAGGAGGCAAAAGAAAAATTTATAGAGTATACAAGTACAAGTGCTTCTGAGGCACAATCTGGCAAGTTTTCCAGTATTTTATTTATTAATTTATTTAGTCTGTTTCAAGTGCACACTACAGAAAAATACTAAATGGTACACTGAAAATGTAACAAATTGAACAATCACAATAGTTACAATAGTAATAGAATACAAATATAAAATAGAAAATATAAACACAAATACAAAATACAAAAAAAAAAAAACAATGGTACATAACAAACTCACGAAATAAAGGTAAGAAGTAAGGTAGAAAGTAACACTAGATTAAATTAGCAAATTCTGCTTTTTAATTTAGGTAGAGTAATCTTGAAAATGTCTAATCCCTATGGTGTATGTTGTAGTCTATGACAAGTCTAGTAACAATTGCACTCTGCCCAAAATTTGTTCTGTGCCTTGGTTGATAGAATAGTAGCCTCTGTCTAGTTCTTAGAGATGGGACTAGAAATCCTACTTGTTCTATGTAGTAGTTCCGGGCAGTCTATCAAATTGTTGAGGAGTTTATAGAGAAACACTATCAGGGAGTTTATCCTGCGAGTTTCTAAACTTTTCATTCCACAAAGTGCAAATCTAGTGTAATAGTCCAATTGTCTATATGGAAAGTTTAATTTGAGGAGTAAATATTTTGCAAATTTACTTTGGACCCTTTCAATGTGGTTGACATGGATATTGCAATTTGGGCTCCAAACAATGCTGCAATATTCTAGCAAGGATCTGACCAGGCAGGTATTTTCACAGGGATCCAATATGGATCCAATTATAGGTAGCCTATAGAAGATAGACCTGTCAAGTTTCGTGCATACTTGTATTTGTAAAGCAGGGTTGGCATGCACAAAAACCCATTTCAATTCAATTTTTTCAATTCAAATAAGCTTTATTGTCAAAAAAACAAATAATGTCATAGACAAAGCAGGCCTTAAACCTAATAAAACAATTAAAATTATCTATTATCTATCTATCATAAAAAGGATAAAAATTTCAAAAAATGATCCACAACAATCGAAACCAACACAAAGAATTGTAAAAACTGAGGCAAAACAAACAAAAAATAAAAATAAAACTTAGAAGTAGTCACGGACGTCAACTACCTATCACTCACATAATTATGTCACACAAATTAAATTAAAATGACGGTAAAAAATATATATATATACATTATACGTGCGCTACAGGAATAAAACAATAAGCACAAATTACAAAAGTCAAATCATGAAAATAAAAATAAAAATAATAATAATAATGATATTGGCAGAGCCAATCAATTGATACAGTCAAAATCTATCATTCCAAAACTCAGTACAGTTATAATAAGCCCTCTCAATTAGTAACCTTTTCACCATCCCTTTAAATATTTTGTTGCTTTCCACTTGTCTTATTTCCACAGGTAAGTGATTAAATAATTTCCGACTATTGTATATAATAGAATTTTTAATTTGTGTCGAGGATGGTATTGGCAGTATTATATTATAAGTTTGCCTCGTGTTATACAAACCTGTTGCACGCAAGCTATTTCTATATTTTTTATGAACTAGGCAAACTGTCTCTAAAATAAATAGACTGGGAAGTGTTAAAATTTTATGTCTTATGAACAAAGGTTTACATGAATCTCTCATTTTAGCTCCACTCAAATACCTTATGGCTCTTTTTTGCAGCACAAACACACTATCAAACAACTGCGCAGAACATGTACCCCAAAAACACAGTCCATATCTTAAGTGACTTTCTATGAGTGAGAAATATACATTTCTCACGGTCTGTGAATCAAGCTCTCCAGAGAGAACTCTCATTGCAAAGCAGTTGGAAGCAAGTTTTTTCCTAAGATTTTCTATGTGTGATTGGAATTTAAGTCTGCTATCAATGAGAAGCCCTAGAAATTTATTCTCATTGGTGCTCGACAAGGAAATGTCATCAAGTTTGATAGGTTCAAGTGTGCACCTAAAATGCATGACATTAGTTTTCGATATATTCAGTGTTAACTGATTAGCGTCAAACCACTGCTTGAGAGCAACTATGTCCCTATTTATTTTGTCACTCAAGAAACCCATACTAGTGTCGTGCCATAATATAGTTGCATCATCCGCAAACAATGTAAATTTCCCTGAGATGCCAAGATCAGTTATATCATTAACATAAATTAAAAACAATATTGGACCAAGAACAGACCCTTGAGGCACCCCATACTGTAATGTTCTCTGTCCAGAAACATCACCTCCAAAGCGAACACTTTGAGTCCTATCCTGCAAATAACTCTCAAACCATTTATAAGAGGATCCCCTAAATCCATAGGACTGCAGTTTCCACAGCAATATTCTGTGACTGACACAATCAAAAGCTTTCGTGAGATCACAGAACACCGCTGCGGCAACGTCATTGTCATTCAGTCTCAAGAAAAGTTCCTCGAGGAATGCAAATATTGCATCGGAAGTCCCCCTGGAAGCTCGAAATCCATATTGTTCGGGACTAAGAATCTTTTTTTCATTCAAAAATGAAACGATTCTTTTTTTTTACTAGTTTCTCTACAATTTTTGATAGAGTCGGCAACAGGGCTATAGGTCTATAGTTTGAGGGATTTTGTTTATCGCCCGCTTTAAATATTGGGATTATATTGGCCCTTTTTAGAGAGTTCGGAAAAAACCCATTTTGGAAAGAATTATTGATAGCATAAACTAATATGTTTAAAACATTGTCAGGTAACTTCCTGAATAATTTGACAGATATATCATCCCACCCCGAAGCATTCTTATTTTTAATTTCATTAAATGTAAACTTAACTTCGTTTACATCCGTAGGCACAAAAAAAAATGATTCGCCTGTTGATGAATATTTGAAAAAATGTTTAAAATCGTGTGCAATGCCAATTTGGCTAGAGAGATTTTTAGCAACAGAACAGTAAAAATTATTAAAATCCTGAGGTGAAAGTGTGGTATCAACATCTGAATTTTCCCGTTTTTTGCCAATTAGCTCATTAACAATTGTCCAGGATTCTTTTTGTCTGTTACTGGATTCTATTATTCGTTTTCTATAGTACTTATCTTTAGCTGCGTTCACCAACCTACGATATATAGCCCTATACTTTTTATAATATGTCATGAAACAAATATTACTGATATAAAACTTACGGATGTTATGCAGTGAACGCATATTTTTTGAAGAAATCCTAATGCCCTCTGTTAACCATGGCTTTTTTTTATTTATTTTCAAGTTTCTTATAGGAAATGCTTTAGTGAATATAGAGGATAACTTTTCATGGAAAGTTTCCAGAGGTTTATTGGAACAAAAGCCCAGGTTTTTGACACAATAACCCACCATCAATATTAACAAAAACCCAGTGCGCCGTGGGCTTTTTGTATAGAAAACCGTTTCATATAAAACTTATTCCTACCATAGTGCCAAATATCAATCCAAAATTCAAGATTATTCACAGTTCTCTTATCTATACTTATTGAACAAAATAAAAATCCTAATAAAAAATAGTCTACTAAGTAATCGGTGTTAATCAAACAATTCTTAGATACAAAAATTAAAAACAGAAGGAACATTTCTCAAGATAACTACTACTAGTATTAACGTAACCAAAAAAAAATTTTGTCAGTGGGGTTCAAAAAGAATTCAGAGCGAAGAAAGAAGTCTCGATCTTCATACTCAGAAAATGGAGAAAACATATAACATCATGGGAAGCAGTAAACGAAACAATAATAAAACTAAATGTATGTATTTTCAGAAGGAAAATAACAATCTTGGGAATATATGGAGTAAACGACGACAAACCCGTTAATATAAAGGATTCATTTTATCAACAACTCAGTGAGCAAATCATATAGGAACTTCAAGGGAAATTATATTGCCGGGAGATTTTCACGGACGAACAGGAAGAAAAATCAATGACAAGGTAGTCGGAAAATTTGGAGAGAATGTAACGAATAACAATGGAGAAAGACTTATAGCAATATGCCAACAAAATAACGTAAAAATCCTAAACGGTTACTTCCAGCATAAAGAAATACATAGGTACACATGGAAAAATGAAACTAGAGACAACAAAAATTGATTATCGACTACACTATCGCAAAACAAAGATCAAACATAAAATTCCAGGATGTCAGAGCATATAGGAGAGCGACCTGTGGTAGCGATCACTACCTCCTGAAAACAAAAATCTTTATTTTGGGCAGAAACACCGCAAAAGAATAAAAGAAAACAGAATAAAAAAACAAGAAGACAATATTGTGCCTGAGAAATACAACCTAAAATCTCTGAAAGAGCAAAGCGTAAAGGGGTTGTACATGAAGAGATTACATCAAAAATTATAGAGTAGCATGAACTTCCAAAACCTTGAAATGCATTACCACCAAATCACAGTGCAGCATTTTAAGCTCTAGGCAAATTTTTTTTTTCCAATTTATTTATTTCAGACCTTAAAACAGTACAATACATACTGGCACCAAGGCCTTCAAAAACTAGCCGTTATTATAAGTACATATTACTACATATCAAGTAGATAATAATAAATTACAGGAATATATTCCTTCAAAAACTATCTTTAATATACTTTTTCAGGTTACGGCTCACTTTCAATTGACTTCCCATAAAATTTACTTTGGGTATTTTGTTGAATGTCTGTACACTTCGGTAAACTGGAGAGTCCTGTCC